CTCTATGTATTAAATTAGCTCTTGATATAGTAGTCTACTCTATTATATTATATAGACTAGACGTATTATATCTATAGATATATAGCTATATATCTATATATTTAGTATATATTATATATAGATATATCATAGTAAGCCGAGTATATACAAATACTCTGCAGTATACCGGTCTATATTTAGAGACTTATACCGGCGCTATCATATATAGAGATAGATAGATAGATGGTTATCTATCTATTTCTATGGTATATACACATACTGGTCAACAGGTGGCGCCAGTTACACCCCAATACAATAATTGCTGTTGAAGAAGATCCACACTGCAAACGGACACAGTACGCCAGATTCCCAAAAGGATATCTATCTATCTATCTATATATATATATATATATATATATCCCTATAGGGTTCATTGTGAAATTTGAATATGCATTGATTGCAGTCTCGTTACGTGTGCTGCACGCTTGTTATTTTAAACAGAACGCACGCGGGCTCATCCAGGGAATACTCACCTTCTGCTTGCACAGCGTTCTGTACTTTTCGAGTAGCTTCTGGTAGCAGCTCTTCCACGTGTCAAGTTCGCTGTCATCACACCCATGCTCCCCAGCATCTTGGATGCCATCAGGAGGGAGTGGTGGACTGTTGTCACGGTTAGACCTACTGCCCCCTCCAATAGTGGCCAACTCGAGAGTGTCATTGAAATGGCCCAAGGAACTATTCAATTAAAACCAATACGACGTAAAAATTGTGTCTCGTTGCGTTGGGAAACATTGCATTCAGGCCTTCGCTATGACATCAACAGCTCATTTGGAATGTATCACAGACAGGTCATGGGACCCAGCAGGTTCTGCCAGCCATGGTAGATAGCCGCGTAAACACTGTGCCTTCAGTTGAGTATCAGAATACTACAATTATGTGTGTCATGTGTGAGTGCATGGTGTGAGTGCTTACTGTGGAACTATGATGCAATTTGGAAATATTTTAAATGCTAATATGTATATATATAATTATTATATATATATACATGTCCTGAAAGTCAAGTCGTCACTCAATATAAATGTACACTCGAACAGACACATGCATAACACACACTTTCAATGTCTTTTTATGGTCATTAAGATGGGTGCCAAAAATTACATCTGGTTTTCCCTACGTATATGCTAGCACATGACTCGAGTATAGATGTGGAATTTCATTAATATTCAGAATAAACCAGTAAACAACTTACCTCATTTGAAACTGTAGGTAAGGTGTGTAGTCAATCACATTATAGTGACCAATTCCCAAATCTTGCAGGTCATCCTCCTTTAAGCAAAAGCTGGAACAACAGAAAAATGGCAATACAAGATTGCTATATACACATTACTTGCCTGTGTTATGCTAGCCACAGGTAGGTGGCTACATGTACATCAACCAACACTGACCTACAATGTCAAAGCTATCGTATAATATCCCATGTACCACGTCATAAGTTTTGGCAGCATACAAACCTAAAGTCGATAGCATTCAGGCTCACCAGCATGCCGGTGATAACAGATGCATCTTCTGTGAGCATAACGGCCTGATCTTCATAGTAATTCCTGCAATAAAATAAACAAAATCCATAAACACATCGGTACTGTAGTCACACATATATTGAAGAAATTATATATATATATATATATATATGATTAAATTTTTATTCTCTTCAGTTAAACCTTCAACCTTTCAATCACAAAAATGTCTGTTAAATTAAATATTAGACAGAATCGGTAGCAGAATAATCACAGTGCAGGCAATGGCAATCTACAGTAGTCGAACAGCCAAGGACACTACTGTTCAGTGCTATGAAGACATATACGATCCTTTAGTCACTTCACTCTAGCTAACTCTATAGAGACAGCAGCAGATTCATTTTGACCTTAGCAGCTTTTCTTGCTTCAGTGCTTCAGACAGATATGCAGCTAGCTTCTTTTCCATTAGTGCCAGCCTGATCCATGCACGCCCCTATCCGACATTAAGTAAAATGGTTAAAAATAAAACAGTGAATATGGTAAAAGGTAACGTCTACTTATTGTGTCCCATGAGGATACGTGTATATATCCATGGTAGTTAGCCAATTTCATGAATTCAAAATATATTGCAAAGGTATGCTATATGTATCATGGAGAATTACCTAAATAAAAAAATATGTGAAGCACCCTAACGTTACATCATAAATTCTGCTAATATGGAAAAGAATTTGTTATTCAAAAACATGTAAATACACATATATATATATGTTTCTCGTTCTAACTAGTCTAAGACTTCTGACAGTAGCCATCAGGAATCAGCCATAATCAGTCCAGTGGAAAGCATTCTTTTACTTTGATTTTATGATTATATTTCAGTTTAGCTCATATATCAACATTTAAAATGTACGAAAACTTCCTGTGTGTCCACTATAGAAAATTCATGTACCTTTGCCAGCGGTGATCGAAGTCCAGTCAGCGATTCAATCTTAGCAATACTGCTGCCAGGTAGTTTTCGACAAGTGGCCTTGATGAACTGCCAGAATGTTTTGCGTTCTTCTGAGCCATACCAGGTTACCCCCGCTGAAACACAGCACGAGCACACATGAACAAACAGCACGATTGCAATGTCAACTAGACAGAGGGCACTCACGGAGAGTGCATACCTCCGCCAGCGACAGAGCTCGTAGCAGCCGCTCGTTGCTGCTGATCGCTGACATGTACACGCGCGCTGCGCTGGCTGGCTCGCTCGCTGACGCGCTAATATCGATCGCGCGGACACACTAACACACTAACACACTACACGAGAGCGATCACATAACCTCCTCCACTCTGTGGGCGGAGGTAAATATGTTTTTTTTTAAATATATTTACACGTATTATACTAAATATTCACATTTTGTCATCTAGGTGCCCATTCATACAGAAACACATATTCACAGCAGTAGCTATTGGGGGGGGGGCAGTTGCCTTCCAACTACAGAAATGTAGATGCATGTCGTCAGAAGTAGATAATAGGGAATGATGTCATGGTCACCGATGGTCATATTATCAGAATAAACTGCGCATGTAGCTTTGGCCCGCACCCCAGGCTAACTGGGTTAGCTACGCTCCTGATATTACTATTATTAGCCTACATAGTAAAAAAAGGTATGTGGTGACCGACGTAGCATACACATGTGTGCATGTTCTATAATCGTAGATCATGACTTTTGCTGACCTCGTTTTCTTGCACTCTTACACTCTCTGAGAGAATATTCAATACGATTAAGGCAGTCAGCAGTTTATAGAAGCACTACTAAAATCAACGCACATCACATGACTCAAATCTAGGCAATCAGGCATGTACTGCAAAATTAAGAAAAAGTAATGTTTATATTTCTTAATTTTTTTTAGCAGGATGGTATGCATAGCTCTGCAAACGTTGTTCTTTCTTGCATGAACTGCATGTTTATTAGTAAGCTATATTAATTGTTAGCAGTAATAATAATTATAAATTATGATTGGCTATTAATGGCCTATTATTAGTTACTGCATTATTATTTAGTTACTGCATACATCATTTAAACTGAGACCTGGGACCCACAAAGTGGTGCCTGGTGGGTGAGAGGGTGATCTGGGAAGAGGCACTGCACTCCATATGAGTTTTTTGTAACCTGCTGCTCTCATGTAATCTGGTTACATATATGTGAACACTACAACAATGAAACTAAAAATGGTGTTTCCGGTAAACAAGAAAGCCGTGTCCCAGCTTAAACGCTGATCCGTATGTGTCTTCCTAATTACAATGCTGATCCATACCTACTTACACTTAAGCCGATGTGACAGAATATGCTCAAGAATCACTGCAAAGTTGAGCAGCTCTTCAGACTTGTCATCAATTACTTCAAAACATGACTTATCAATTAGGCTCTTGATTGACAATCTGAAATATATATATATATATATATATATATAAATTAATCTATATATATATATATATGTTATTATGACCATTAACGACATTAAAGTTGGGAACACTCCTAATGGAGTATCACCCAACATAAACATACGGATCTTCCACATAACCATAATTGCTTATTAACGGTTGATATACACGAACAAATGTCGTACTACTGCATTAATTTCACTTCCGACTGCTTGCTTACGTAAGCTACAAAAACTGCATACATCATTAGAAAAAAACAAGCATAATCGCAGTGCGGGTGTAAAATGCTGGCCTTTCCATGCCGACATATGTACTATGGAACGATCCCTTTCAATCTCTTTTTACATGCTAACGTGTAGTTAGTGGACACAGAATAGTGTGATATAAAATAAATACCTAGGACACTAGATCACAGTTATTTTGTTTCAATGCTCATGTAACGACTCTACGCTATTCGTTGAGATAATGTTCCCATTGCGAGTACAACACACATAATTGTTATTAAAGGGACACAACGTGACATTTAGGCATGTAAAGGCACTCCCAGTCTGACATTTACAGGTGCTGCCATTACAGCATTCCTGTGTGTTGGCAATGCATCACTAATTATAGCAACATGTGCCCTGAGCTGACATTTAACAAAATGCAGGTAAGCACCATAATTTACACCGGTGGTCAGGATTCTAGGCCAAACTAAGAGTGCCTGAGATGATCTAAATTCCAATACTCTGCTCCGTGCCCCTTCAATAACCACTTAGACTTCATTCATCTGAAATCGCAAATCACTACTACAACGCAACATACTAAACATTAGCATGAAGTCTACGGTAATTATGCAATACCATCGATACATTTCATTGGAAACAGGGAAGAAACAGAGAAGAAACAGGGTTCATTTTCATCGTCTCCCCCATTTGCATCATAGTGAGGCTAAATGTATTCTATACGACCAAATCGTATTAAATCTAATAATATATATACATACACACACACGTATATATATATACATATTCATATATATATATATATATACACATTCATATATATAATATATATATATATATATATATATATAAATTAAACAATGTTTAAGCTTGTAGTTCTATTGTGAATGGCTCACATGGTTACCTTGGTTCACGTGATTACTTTGCACAATAGAATTCACTGTAAAATGTAAACTTTTTTATTGAATAAAAAAGTTTAAATTTTACAGTGAATTCCATTGTGGAATGAGAGAACAAAAGCAGCTAAACTGAAAACGATCGAAAAAACAACAATAGCACAAACAATCGAACAAACAATCGACCAACAATCGAACAAACAATAGAATACACGTCAAAAGCAATGATCAGGCTCTGATGATCTAGTATTACATTTACAAATAGGCTTCATTGAACCGTGACTGAAGAGGGAATACCAATTTTCACCTAACTATGATAACCTCGATCATAACCTCATAAATAATGGTCTTTATAAGTCCAAGGGACTATAACAAAGACAAAGAGACAAGTTGATAAAATCGAGAGATCAACACTGCGGATTACAGTAGAAAACGCAGCAAATTTGCAATTTACTATAGACGAAGGGAGAGAATTCCAATACGGAATGACAGAAACAAAGAAGCTAAACTTAAAAGGATCCTTAGAAGATGGCACGTGTCGAAAGCAATGATCACGCTCAGATGATCGATTGCTACGAACAGGCTTCATCAAGCAAGAGGGAATGCCAATCTTCACCTGGCCATGACAAATTTCATGGAAAGTTACAAGTTTAGCATGGAGAAAGCGGACACGAAGAGGACGCAAACGAACGTATTATGATAAATCATAAAACTGTGAAATAAAGCATTTTCTTATGTTCTGCTCTGCAACAGTAATTCGTACCAACCTAAAATTTTCGAAGTAACACCCGTCGTAATTCGCCTTTTGAAGCTTCTCAACGTACTCATCAAGATCAACAGTGCCACTACATGGGTCGAAATGCTAAGGGGCCCGCGGGCCCGATGCCTGTATTTTAAGGCTCGGGCCTGACATTTCTAATGCTAGCAAGCCCGACGGACCCCCAGCATGCAAAACCGTCCCTGGAACGCCAGCGAGGATGAAAAGTTACCGCAGCATCGCTCACTAGTAGTCACTGAATATGTACTTTGTATTAATTACTGTAAATAAACCATTGTAAAAATTTCAAATTTTAATCTTTCATCTAAAAATGTGGTACCCGGGGAATGATGCGGGCCTGAAATTTGCCTGGCGAGCCTGTAAAATTCCTTACCTTCAGGCCCGGCTGGCCTGTAAATTTTCAAACTAATTTCTACCCCTTCACTAGTTTTTCACTAGTTTCAATTATTGTGCTTTAATTTTTTCTTTCCCTGTATATTATTGTTCAGCTATGCGTCTGTGAGCGCTTTTCTTTTTTGATAGTCTATATATATATATATATATATTTGGGACCTGCATATGCATATTTTGTATTGTGGTCTTAAGGCTCATGTGGACTCAGGGTAATTTTGCATGTTTACTTATAATTTATTTATTTTTTCATAACAACGCTCATATATATTTTTGTATTTTCCAAACGTATTGTCATTCATGGTTCAAGTCTTGAATCAAATTTAAGTAACTAACTGTAATTAGCGGAGTGGCTGACTCGAAGACTGTATAGTCAATTCGCCCTCCCTCGCTGTACTTATTTTAAAAAACTTGTTGTGATATATGTAAAAATGTAATATACTTGAAAGCGTAAATAAATTTTAAAAATCTAAAAAAAAAAAATCACTAATACTAATAGTAATATTAAGATGTAGCAGCGAAGAATTCTTGTTGTGTTGCTAGATAGGCGCACATTCTAGCTACACATTTCTGTTAGTACTACCACTCATAGCCTTTGATATTAATGACTTTTTTAATGTAACACAACCCAAGAGCGCTTCAGTGACTGTCATCTGTTAGGCCGTGGCTACGCAACCGGTTCCGGACAAGGAGCCATTAGGCTACGCTCGTAGACATCCATCTCACAGTGATCTTGCAACACGTACACGCATGATTGCGCAACGGGACGCTCTGCTGATTGCCGAGTGTGTGTGTGTGTGTGTGAGAGAGAGAGAGAGAGAGAGAGAGAGAGAGAGAGAGAGAGAGAGAGAGAGAGAGAGAGAGAGAGAGCTGTGCATGTGTGTGTGAAAGAGAGAGAGAGAGCGAGAGAGGACGGATGAAAGGATAGACCTGTGCCGGCAGCAGTGCATATATTGTATATTTACGGCAATCAGCAGAGCGTTCCGTTGCGCAATAATCCGTGTACGCAAGTCGTGCGATCACTGTGTGAGTGGATGTCATTATAAATATAATTCTAGCCTGTGCACTCCACGACCACACAAAAAACGACCGTGGCGTAAATAAATACAAATTGTATTTACAAGCACAAGTAAGAGCTAGTGGCTAGTATTGCACTAGCTCTAGTAATATAGAGTATAGGCTATAGCACGTCCTGGACATCATCTCTATCCTTGAACCCTTGAACCCCGCGTACAGTTGGCGCAGGCCTGCGGAAACTGTACTAGAGCTATACGCGGGCTATACTACTAGTACTACTACTACTAGTAGTACTTCTACTACTAGTACTACTACTACTACTACTACTACTAGTACTAGTACTAGAGCTAGTATTGCACTGGCTCTAGGCCCAGCTACTAGCTAGCTACCCGTAAAACCAATTAATACCGGTACCTGCAAACGTGAACCAGATTATTCCTCTGTGTATTGTTCTGTCGATTAACGTGTTGAAAAATCGGTGACATTTTTATTTACTCAACGTAAACAACCGCGATGTAGGGAAAAACTAGAATTCGCCTCTAACCTAGCCGTTAGATGGCGCTAGGTACCGAGGGTCCGAGACAACAACGAGCATCCTGGAAACAAATGCAAAACTTTGAAGTGAAGTTCTTCAAATAGTCATGCGATTAATGTATTAATCTTACGAATATATTGACTTGTTAGAACATATTATGTATACATTATGGCGTATTTTATGCCATCAGATATCGCAAGGTTGGTTCTTGGTAAGTATTATTGATAATGATAGTAATAGGCCCTACTAATTAGTTTTTAATATTTACTTATTTAGTAATTTACGCATTCCTGCACTCAGTCCTGAACGTCAACACAGTGTCACACAGTCACAGTGACACCTACTTAGTAGGTAGTACTAGTAGTACTAGTACCAGTAGTAGTACTAGTAGCTTAAAGTTGAGACTGTTATTATACAAAAGCTAACAAATGCCTCAGTTTCAAAACATCACCAAAACTATCACAGTAGTCCTATGTAATTAATACTCATATACTGTGCCCTACTGTAGTACTGAATCATATAGCTCTAGTACTATATAGCCCGCTTACATTAACTGCCGCTGGCCACCAGCAGCAGTTAATGTAAGCGGGCTATAGTACTAGAGCTATGAATCATAAACCTCTGCCCTGGTAATGTGATATGTTTACAGAGGGCGCTACTGGGTGTGGTGTGTGTTTATTTACTCAAATTACTGAGTTATACACTATTTTCTGTGACCAAGTTAGTGTAATCAACACGATCGCCACCATTCACACCTAGCATAGTTTGACCAAAATAGGACATTGTGCTGACAGTGATTTTTAAGACAAGGCAAAGTCATGACGCCACAATGCGGGGGGTATTTTGCCATTTTCGGGTTTAATCGCTTAATTCATGCTGTTGTATGTTTTCAACATACTAATCGAATAGTGGTTGCAATTAGATTGGTTATTATTTCCCCTATTGTATTTACAGTGTATACAGGGATCAATGTTCAAATTCTAATATCAAAGCTGGAAGACTGTAGTGTAAATTTTAAAATTATTACAGAGCAATTCAAATATTATAAGATAATTATGTTCTTTGAAATATACGAAGTTGTTTAAAAGTTTTTTTTTATAGAGTTAGGAGATTTTCCAATGGATTGGTGTCAGGGTTATTGTTAGTCCTTGAGGGTTATGCTAGCTGACTGCATGTGTCCTGATGTTGACACTATAGGAATAGTTCTCTCAGATTGTTTTCCGTGTCCACTATATTGTACGGCCCTGGAAATGTGGCATACCTCCCAAAGTCCATGAAGGAAAGTCATAAATTGACTAATCCACTTGACCCCTTGTAAAGTCAATCTAATATGAACTTATCCTAAAAAGGTATGAAAAGGTGATTTCCGATAAGTATTGTGGTAATGTGATGTGTGGGTGTCTCTGATTGAGAAAACAGATTAGATTAATAAGTTTAACCTCTGTAGAAGTAAGGACGCATGGCACAAGGATGAATCTAAATCAGTAATGTAAATCAGTACAGTAATGTAAATCTAAATCAGTAAT